CTCACCATCACTCTGCCTTCGCCATACTCGTCTCGCCAAACTTGGGCTCTGTACCAGATGTTAGGCTCAACCAACCCACATATACTTTTAACATGGTGTGATATTATCTGCTTTGGGTCAAACTCACATGGTTTTCTCAATCTGACAAGGACCATAAGTTTTCCTTTTTTAAATTTATTAGAACAATGGGTTTTCCAAACCGATAAGGATTATGAATTTTCTTAAAATACAAGAAAATAATTCAAGCCGTAAATAATAGATCTTCCCCTTGACTTGACTTCTCTTCATCAACAAGAACAACATCTCTCTGAGTTGCCCTCAGCCCTCGCAAGGGCTCTACCCATTACTGCACACATCACTCAAGTCTAGGCATTGCCTAAACTTGTTAAGAGACCCAATCTCTTCAACTATAGCACCAATCCATCGATCTGCTTCTGCACCCAAAATAGCTTCTGAATAGCTATTACGCTCAAGCACATCAACGGTCTCTGCAATTGACAAAGCAAATCTCAAAGAATTTGTATATCCGAGAAGATTTTCACCAACTACGTTTGCAAACCTGTGCGGTCGGTTGATCACTCTCTTCTCTCTGCTTGTTGCAATGCTATATGGTTGATGTTGCATATGTGCATTAACATTATCATCTTGATCAATATTTTGCACCTCCACTTCCTCTATTTCTGAACTACTTTGTTGAGCTAGTGGAAATTCAATTTCTAGCTCTATGCGGTCACTGACACCATGATTTGTTTCTGCTATTGCTTTCTCCCTCTGATTGTCCAGTGAGACAGATTCATTGAATGTCACATCCCTATTGATAATTAACCCTGAGGTCCTCTGTTTTGTGCACCACAACCTGTAACCTTTCGCTCCAGTTGCATACCTTAGAAATATGCACTTCTTTGCCCTCGGCTCAAGTTTGCCGTCCCACAGTGTTCATTTGTGTTGTTTAATCCTTCGGGTTTGATACCTTTTTTCTTTTCTTTTCTGGATTTGCTTGTTATGTGAATTCCAGGTTCTTTGTGTATGCATGACATCTATGTATACGGTCTCAAAAAAAAAAAGAAAAACCTTCATATGCATCCTCTTGCTCTTCCGCGTAGGTCAGAATTCAGATGTAAAATTAAAACAAAAGTTAACCAACACATGCACCATTATATTGTGGACAGTGTTGGACATTTAATCTTGACACTGCAAGCTGCTGGGATATCTGAGAATTTTCCACTCCTTTTTCCCCTTCATAGCACAAAGAGAGGGAGAGAGAGAGAGTCAAACCTTGGAGAACCAAAAGTTGATGAAATGCCGGGCCATGCCGATCTAGTTAAGTAAAAGAATAATTAAGCTCCCCTGACTAAGTCGAATTTTGTGTTAAGGTCCAATAATTTGGAGAACCAAACCTTTCTCTCAACTTTGCTCTTTATTCAAACAAGAAACGGATTTTGTTCCAATCGCTTTTTAAAAAACAGTTAAACGCAAAACTGGTTTTGATACCCATTTTTTTTGACAAAACAATTCTTAAAAATTAGGCTATAAGTGTTCAAGTCATTTTACAGCTTCTCATTGTTGCACGTTAGTAACTAGTGTTACCAAATTATGGAGAAACTAAGTGGGCGTTTGGACATAAGAATTGTAAAATTCCGGAAAAAAACGAATTTTTTTTTTCAAGTGAAAATGGTATTTGAAAACTAGAGTTGTGTTTTGACATGAATATAATTTTGGGTTGTTTTTGAAGTTTTGTGAGTGATCTCAGTGAAAATTTTGAAAAATAGCCTTTTGGAGTTTTTCAAATTTTCGAAAAATTTCAAAATTCATAAGTGAAAATTTGAAAATTTATGGCCAAACACTGATTTCGGAAAAAAGTTAAAAAAAAACGAAAAAGTGAAAATTTTCTTATGTCCAAACGGGCTCTAAGACTAATGATATCATAAACCTAAACAACATTGAGAAAATTGCTCTCTATAGCCCTTCAAAATTTTATTAGCTCATGTTTTCTCCCATTGACCCGAAATAGCCTTTAGGCCCAATTTATTGATAAGTTATAGCCACTATTTTCAATACACTTTCACTCTCTTTCAACCGCCTGCTTCTCCTCTCTCTCTCTCTCTCTCTCTTCTCATCTTCTCCGATCTTCAATCTTTCCCTTCTTCACTCCCTCCTTTTTTTCTTTTTTTCTTTTCTTCTCCTATAGCAACACCAACACACTTTTTTTTTAATTTTCTCTTTTTTCTTTGCGATCTCCTCCTCTTTTACTTAGATACAGAAATATCTATCTTCTTTAAGTAATTTCTGGCAAAAGTTTGGCGGCGGTTGCCGCTTTCTTCGCTTTCTGTCCACTTTCAGATATAGTATTGCATGATAATTTTTCGAATGACTTTTGCAAGAAGATGAGAAATGGAAAATAAAATAGCCGTTGTCGGAGAAAAGCTTTTTCTGGCCAAGTTTGGTATCCTCCATTATCGCCAGCGCTCCTTTATTTCTACACTGTGTAATTAGTGTATAATAATATAGTGTATAATCAATGTGTATATATTATACACTAATGATACATTTATTATACACGTATTATACAAAATTGGACGTGAAAGATTACGGTGACTATAGTGAGTGTTGAAAATATTATATGTAATGTGTATATATTATGTACGTACATTTATATGAAAAGTGTATGTACACTGATATAATACATATACACTTTTTATACAAATGCAATGTTCATATAATTTTGTATATATTTTGTATATAAAGTGTATAATAATATATATATTGTTCGACGATGTATAAAAAGTGCATATACACTTTATATTAGTGTATAATATATATAGTACGTGTAAAACCTATAAATCACCTTCTTCCTCTTCTTATATCATGGGTATTTTTGCTTATGCAATATTATATTTTTCTAGATTGGATCACTAAAAATTTAATTTTTTTAGTAAAGGATAAAAAAGGGAATTTTGTTGGTTATGGAGAAGGCGGTTGAGTTTAATGGAATTTTGGGCTGAAATGGTGAATTTTGCGGGGGATTTCACTAGGTTTGAAAGATTTTTGGGGTCATTTGGTGGGATTTTAAATATTTTGACTACTAATATTAAGTGTAAAAGAAGATTGCATTGAGGAGTCAAAGTCTCCGTTGATTTTTTAGATTTTACTTGCTAGCCCTTATAATTGGTTTTGGACTATAAATTGTATGTCTTATTTTATGGCTATCAGTTGTCATTAATTTTTACCGAACGGCTATAAATGATTTTTGCTCAACAATATTACTACTATTTTTTGTTTTTGCCAATATTAGACAAGAGCAGGTCTACAGAAAAGGTACACTTTTTTAAACTCTATTTATGCTTATTTTTTTAATTTGGTTCTTGTACTTCTGCTTTGTTTTAAACAGTACCATTAAAGCTTTGTGATTTGAAAATCATGAGCTTCAAATTCAAAATTCATCTGATGAAAAAAAAAATATTAAGTAATTTCTTCTCGCATAATTATTTTTAAAAAACGGAAAAGGTCCAAATATGCCCTTGTACTATACGAAATTAAGCACATTTGCCCTTCGTTAATACTTTAGCTCAAATATGCCATTACCGTCACATAGTTGGTCCATATATGCCCTTAGAGTTACACAGTTGACCCATATATACTCTTTTCGAAACAGAATCCACCAAACTAATTAACTCTTTCGTTAATTGTATTAAATTGCATTACAAATATTATTTTCTTTTTACTAGTACTTTTTTTTCTTTACCTTTCTCTTTTCTTTCTTCTTTTTTCTTTTCTTCTCTTTTTTTTTTCTCTTTTCTTTCTCCCTTGTCCGATTTCCTCCATTATTCATGTCTTCTCTATTTTCGTCACCATTTTTACTTGACAAAACTCATGAATTCCAATTACCAAGAAAATTCTCCCCATAAGAATATTTTTATAGATCATATGTTTGTCAATTTTTTAATTTTTACGGAACATATATTTAGTTCTAAAAATTTAACAAAGTAAGATTGAAATAATATTTATGTAATAAAAAACTCAAAAAATCCAAATCGAACAATCCAAACCGATATAATGGTTTGGTTTGGTTTTGATAAAAAATGAACCAACCCGTTTCATGTACACCCCTAATTTACGTAGTTAATAAAAAAAATATCCAGCTAAAAAAAGATGAAAAAAGACTAACAACTCAAATTTATAACACCACAACTTGAACTCTAGGCTTTTAATTATTAAATTATCTTTCTGAAAATAATTTAAATATTTTGGTCTTTTGAGTATTGTTAAAGGTTGAGATGTTTTTATTATTTTAAAGTTTAAACCATAAATTTTAGAATAATTTAATTTCGTTTATTTAGAGGGCCAGTAAAATTGGAACTTGATTGCTTTATGGGAGAATTTTCTTAGTAATTGAAATTTATGAGTTTTGTCAAGTGAAATTGGTGACGAAAATGGAGAAGACATCAGTAATGGAGGAAACGGACAAGGGAGAAAGAAAAAAGAAAAAAAAAAAGAGAAGAAAAGAAAAACGAAGAAAGAAAAGAGAAAGGTAAAGAAAAAAAGTATTAATAAAAAGAAAATCGTGTTTGTAATACACTTTAATACAATTAACGAAAGAGCTAATTAGTTTGGGTGAATTCCGTTTCGAAAAGGGCATATATGAGCTAACTGTGTAACTCTAAGGACATATATGTACCAACTATGTGACGGTAAAGATATATTTGAGCTAAAATATTAACGAAGGGCAAATATGCTCAATTTCATATAGTTAAAGTGTATATTTTGAACTTTGCCCTTTAAAAAATGATAGAGCAAGCTAGAAATTGACGATGAAATGTATGTGCCCACTTATATTACATCTGCTGTTATTAGGAGGGGTAATAATTATATTTTTGAATTAGTAAAATGTTCGTACTTCGTATGCATTGTATTATTCCAGGAAATTTTTACTTTTCCTCCAGCAGGCGTTCCGATGCTTTTTCTCAATTATCAAATTTTCTCGTTCTCCACTTATTACTCCGATGAATACTAGGGCGGATTCCGCCGCTGCCGACGGCAGTGCTACGCCACCATTAGCCACGCAATTAGTCAAAGCAGAACAGAAGCAGTCAGAATTGCAACAATCTCCAACACATTTTACACATATGATTCCCATTGCGAATCTGCGCAAACTCTCCGACGCGCTCTCCGGGTTCCAGCGATGCTTCGGCGAGCTACAACGGCACATTGATACCATGCGAACCTCAATCGACTCCTCTCTGCTACTACTACTGCCGCGAAACAATGAACAGTCCACTACTACCACTCCGCCGACACCGCCATTCCCAGAGCCAGAACCATTTGACCCCTCTGAAGAGAAAGAGGAAGAGGAAGAGAAAGAGCAACTGAAATCCCCTGCTCGTTCAGGGCCAAAATCGTTTCGTTTAGAGCTGAAATTTCCTCCTCGTTCAGAGGTGGAAATCCTGTGCGAAACAATGAACAGTAACGGTCTGCAGAAGTACATGATAAGGCATCTCTCAAATATAAGAACAGTGAAACGAAGAGTTCCAAAGGCATTGAAACTCTCGCCTAATCCTGCAAGGCTGATATTGGAATGCATCGGCGATTTTTATTCTCAAGGGAGCAACACTTATGTCCAAGGCTCACCTGAAAGGCAGGCTAAAGTATTGCTTTTGGAGTGCTTCTTGAATATGATGGGAGAGTCCGTAGTTGAGAATGAGGTGAAGGAAGAGGCAGAACAAGCAGCTTTAGCATGGATTAAGAGGTTGAATTTCAAAGGAGGAGGTATACTACAGGCTCAAGAAATTGAATGTCGGGGTTTGCTGTTGCTTATTGGGTGTTTCGGGATTCCACAAGCATTTACAAATAAAGATATCAAGGATTTGCTGCACCAAAGTTACATCAAGATGATTTCTGCTTCCCTTAGGAGATCAAGTTTTCTCATGGCAAAGATTCCAGAAATAATAGAGGGTATGTTGAAGCAAAATATGGTAGTTGAAGCCGTTCATTTTGTCTATTGTTTTGGACTTGAGGAGAGATTTAACCCTCGTAGACTGTTAACATCATTTTTACAAGAGTCTGAAGTGTCATTATTGGACAAAATTAAGAAGTATGAAGAAATGAAGGGATCACAAGATTCAGTTGTTGTTGCTAAGAGTATTGGTGTAAGAAGGAGGTACGTGGCTGGTTTGAGATCTGCCATCCAATGTTTGGGACGTCACAATATTGATCATTCGAAATTTCTCCCCGGGTGGCAATTTGAAATAAAAATAACACGCTTGGAGAAAGAAATTGCTCAATTGAGGAAGAGGATGAAAAGTGATCGAGAGGTGGCACGAAAGAGAAAAATTGATGAAGCTAAGTGGTTGGGCAACAAAGAAGTGAAGCACTCACATTTTTCAAATCCATGTCTGCCACCACAACGTCGAGCTGCTAATCATGTTGATGATAGCAACAACACCTTGTTAGAAGGTGGTGGGACTGCTGACCGCATTTATGGTCATTCTCTGTACCCTTCGGTATTGCATGGACCTGTTACAGGTTCGATTCATGAAAATCTCGCTGGCAGGACCTGGAGCAGGTATATCAGCAAGTGCTGATGGTATTCATGCAGGTATATCAGCAGGCACGGATGTTGTTATGCAAGGACGTTCATATGCTGGCGGTCATGGAGGAAGTCAAGTTAATAGTACAACCGGGCAAATGGGAAGTCATGCTGGTCAGTTATATGGATCACGTGGTGATGCAGCCGTATATGACAGACTGCCCTCCCACAGCTATGCTTATAGGCCATCATCCTACTTGGAATGCTCAGGCTCTATGGGGTTGCCAAACACCATACTTGGTGATGCTTATCGGCCTCCACCATACATGGAAAGCTCTAAGGGGTTGCCCAGTACCATACATGGTGATGTTAATAGGGCACCGCCATACTTAGAAGGCTCTGTGGGGTTACCAAGCACCATAACCGGTGATGCATTTAGGCCTCCACCATACTTTGGAGGCTCTACGGGGTTGTCAAACACCATAACCGGTGATGCATTTAGGCCTCCACCATACTTTTGAGGCTCCACGGGCTTGCCAAACACCATAACTGGTGATGCATTTAGGCCTCCACCATACTTTTGAGGCTCTACGGGATTGCCAAACACCATAACTGGTGATGCATTTAGGCCTCCACCATACTTTTGAGGCTCTACGGGATTGCCAAACACCATACCTCCACCATATCAGTTTGCTGATACTGTTCCAGCAACTTAATATACCGAAACAGTAGCCCACGAGCAGTTGATGTTGTTGCATCTACTGCGCTTGTTCATCCTTCATCCTCCATGTACTGGCAGAGATAGTTTTGAGTCTTTAACAATGTCCTACGAGGTTCATGTCGTTTCAAGAAAAAAAAAACGAGTTATCAAATATATTGGAGCTGGGTTTGACAGCTGTGAATGATGTTTTTACACATTGGATTGCTGGTCTGCTGCAAAGATGCCCTAATCCTAGTAAAGTACTCATTAATTTAGTAATTTCAGAGATTAAAGCACGTGAAGAGTGTCAAAATATTTCCAGCTTTCCCTAATATAGTGTTCAGCTGATGATGAGGTACATGCATGTGGATGTGCAATTTGTGTATAAGTAGATTAGAAACCTCCATAATAGAATCTTCAGAATCAACAATAATAGAAGCAGGTATCGCAAGCCTTTTCCTCTTGTTCTCTATAATTTGCTAACTTAAAAAATGAACTGCTTCAGATGTTTGAATCATTTTCCAATAAAGTTTCTTGTCATTCTCATGTGATTCCCATTTGGTTGACTTGTGGAAGTAGTTTGGATTCTCTTCTATTTAATGATCCTGTCCACTGGATTAACCTCCTAAATGTAAATTACATTGTTTCCTTTGCATTGCCATAAATATAAGACATTTCATACATTTACATATTAGACACATTCTCTTGGAGACTGGATTTCATGAAATTAAGTTCTCTGGGTTGCTATCAGCTAGCACGTGACCGTGTGAAAATCCCTTGAGTTTCTAATTACAACAGGAAACTAGAAGGAGAATAGAAAGAACTATCATCCACATCTATAGTGCTATACAATTATGGTGAAGCTCCTACAACAACATGCACCAATAGATGAGATTATTGGGGAGTTGAGCCTCCTTTGCTCTTTGCTCTTTGCTCGTAGGTAGGAGTGTCAATGGATATTTAAAAACCGACTAAACTGACCGAACCGATTTTTAGGTTTTTTTTAATAAAACCGTAGGTTTTTATATAAATCTATAATCGTACCGATAATTAGGGTATATTTTTTATTTTATGAAAGTAAACCAAAAAATTACTGAACCGTACCGAATAAATTTACATGGGAAAAATATATTTATATATTAAGTTTAAAAATAATAAAGCATTAATATAAGGTTTTCCTTGAGCATTGGAATTATGAAAACGGTTACAAGACAACAACTAATTAAACTCAAAATCCTAATTTCCAAACATATTATACTACTCCTATTGAACAAAACTATTTTCAGCATATTCACTAGTAAAACACAAGGTATTCTAGCGATTATGAGTAGCAAACTACAATATATTGAATATGTTTCCTTTTGTATGATTTAAATTTATATTTTCGAATATTTAATCTTCTATATATAGACTTTATTCTTAAGTCCCAACTTGCTTAATATCTTTCCACTCGTGTGATTTATATTTTTTTTGTCTTTGCTTAATTTCTTTTACGCTTGATGGATCTATACTCTAGTCATCTTTCATGTTTTCTTAATTTATCACCCTTTAAATAGTAAAAATATCTAGAGAATTTTGTTAAGTCTTATAAAAGTACGTATGTTATTGCATTCTGCTTCTACTAGTGACTTTTAAATGATATTTAAAAAATATCGAAAATTTACCGAATCGTACCGATACCGAGGAGAAACCGACATGATTGGTACGGTTTCTAAAAGTCTAAGTTTGATTATACATAATAGAATAACCAAAAAATTGGTGTGGTACAAATTTTATAAAATAACCGGCCGAACCGAACCGTTGACAACCCTACTCGTTGGCCCGCTATAAGTCCAACAAATCAGGAGGAAGTTGATTGGATTCTTTTGTTCAGGCTGACTCTAATATGGCTCTAATCGTAATTTTGACTCTATTATGATACCTCCCTCTAGCGCAATAGCAATCGAGAATGGAGGTGACCTTGTTACACTTGGCCGCCCCCACCCTAATCCACAAAAGAAAAAACAAGACAGGAAAAAATAAAGGCAGAAAAAGAGATAGGAAAGGAATAACGCCAAATCGTACAAGTGAAGGAGATGGTCATGGAACTGGCTCTGTTTTTAATTGTTTTTAACTATATCCTGAGTTTCTAATGACGACCTCTGTATCTGTGTTTGGTATGTTTGTTTTGCATCTGATAACCTTTCGCCGGTGTGATATTCCTCAACCTCTGCATGAAGTCTGTGTTATTGATTTGATAATATTTTGATCTTATGTTTAAATGTCTTGAGTGCCTTTATTTCCCTCTTCTCTTTTCTTTTGTCAATGTTGTGAGAATATGCCTCATATCAAAATTTGGCTTTCGTTTGGTAATATAACTTTTCTGTTTTGTGGGCTCGACTTTGTGCTATAGATTACTATAAACTTTTTAGGTGACTGCATGGTGATGTATAGTAACTGAATGATAGGACATAGGGTCCCTAAAGCTTTTTGAAATTACAAATTCTGCATATATTCTAAAAGCTTATAGTTCAATAAACGTACGGATATATAACAAACAGAAGCAACAACTAGTAAATCTGGCATTTCAATACTGACTGGCCACACATTCTACAACATCCTGATTTGGAAGATACAACAGAGTGCTAGTTAGCCAGACACCATATCGATCTCCTACTTTGACAATTATGAGGAATGCTATTCAGTAAGACTCGAAAGCTACTTAGATCTTCAATTCACTTCCTCGTGCTTATATGATAAGTTATACTATTTCGTATTTTGATGATTTGCCAAACAGTCTCGAGAAATAAGATAGGAACCGGTTGTGATCAGTTCCTTTGGCCTTGATATGATATGTTACTTTGTTGTGTTTTGATGCTTGGTCAAACATTCTCGAGGAACCAGATAGGGACCAAATGTGATCAGTTCCTCGGTCATCGTACAATCAACTCTATAACTGTAAAAGTTGTCTCATTGTACCAACTGGCAACAGTGCAGCGGCTGTGCAGCTGCTTACTAGAGGCCAAACTAAAAGATGAAATGTTCTTATCTATTCTCAGATGCTCTCTCGTATAAAAACATGTTACAAGGTTTGACCTAACACTTGAAAATCTAAAAATCACATTCTTTCAAGTGTTAACCGCCACTGCTCTCAAGGTTCACTCAAGAACAAAGTTGCTATAAACTCAAGGACCAGATCCCAATATTGAAGATGTCTTAAGTCCTTAGGTTTGTTGAGTCTTTGTCATTTGTTATTTACTTGTAATCCTACACTACTTTCGAGAAGTGCTTTTGTAGGATAGAATTTTAACGTTGTTGTTTTAGTTTTCTTGACTAGAGTTAGTCAAAGTTTGTTTGCTTTGTAATAGAGTTATTGCAAAGGGCTTACAATAGAGTTATTGTACGGGGTGAGGGATTAAGAGGTTAATTCCTAGATTGCAATAGGTTCTAACCTGAAATTGCTCGGTTTAGTGAAATTGGAAATCCTACTCCGATAGGTCGTGGTTTTAAATCCCTTGAGCAAAAAAAATTCACGTAAATATCGTGTGTCATTTACTTTCTGTCTCTTTACTGTGGTGGACTCTTAGTTTCTATCATTATAGGTTAAGTCCAATATACAAATTGATTTAAATTCATCTACAAAATGCGTACAATATTATAGAACATTTTTATCTAACTTTCTCATGCTTGCAACGCAAAAAAAAAAATCATTCATCCCTTTGTTCATTAACTTGTTAAGAAAATACTTCATTCACTCGTGAGGATATAACATAATGGTTAGTTACTCAAAAATTAATGGTTAGCTTCACCGTACTTTATTCCAGACTTCTTTCCCTCTCTTTCTCTTTCTCTTTCTACCAATTTCGTGAGGAAAATGTTCTTAGAAGGACAAAATCAATTATGGTGATGTAGTCGATCCTTTGAACGGTTAAAGTCTGTATTATTTATGGGGACATCATATTTGTCGATGGCCATTATTGGACCTTTATTCATTTCTTTAATGTTGTGATTGTGCTGAGCTGAAGGTCTATCAAAAACAACGTCTCTACTTGCACAGGGTAGGATAAAGTCTGCGTACACTCCATCTTTCCCAGATCACAGTTGTGAAATTCATTGGGTATGTTATTGTTATAATAACAATGCTTCTAGCGCAAACAACTGAAAGTAACCATTTCTTCATTCATTGGAAAAGGGGAAAGGGGGATGACAAGAAAAGGGGCAAACTACAGGGACTATTCAAGTAAAGAGGAACAATAAATTCAAAATAGAGGAGAAAACGAAAAAACATATGAAATCACCAAGCAAAGTAGAAAAAGCCTTTGGTCAATTCTTCCTGAATTATGTCTATGATAGAATTAAACTCTTTCACTTCGATCTTTTATTCCCTTTGTCAACTAGAAAACACAGATATATAAAAGGGATATAATAGTTCTTTAGTTATCGATTCTTTCGCTATCAATTGATCCCATATAAATGAGAAATTTTAGTAACTCAGTTGGTTGTTTACCTGAATTTTTATCTTACTGGTGAGGGTTTGATTTATCGCCTTGTAGTTTTCTCCCTATTTCCCCTTCCCCTACCCCCAATGTAATAAAAATTTAAAAAAACTATAACTGAACACTCACAAACATTTCTCATCTTAATTTTTTGAATTTTTTTTTTGCATTATACATAAGAAATACTTTAAAAATTTCTCTCTATATATAATAGATATTACTGACTGAAAATAATACAAATTAAACCTTAATTTAAAAATAATATAAATTTATAAGAAAAATATCAAATTTGAATAAGAAGTAGATTTTTAAAACCTGTATAGTCTAACATCAAGCTTCCATACAGATTGAAATGCGGTAATATATTGACATTACTTGCACAAAATTATGCATATGCCATCGAGTACACCTCCCGTGGGCATTTCACCATGAATATGTATCTTTTTCTCCAACAACAAGGATGTGCAGTCCCTTTACAAACAACTCGAAAGAAAGAAAGAAAGTAAGTAAGTTATCACTGTATAGGTCGAAATCTACGCCGAAACATTTAGGTCAAGGAAGTATTGCGGGAAAAATCAGTCGAGGTCGATCAGAAAATGGCGAAACTCGGGGTCAGGACGCTTACAGTGGTCGAGTACGATCCGCGGAAAGAGTTGTAACGACTAGTTTTTAGAATTGAATAATAGAGGAAATATTCCGAAGAATATTCTTTGCACATGTACTATTATGGTTTGCTATGTGTATGTCCCATATAAGGAGGACAAAAGATAAGGAAAAGGGATATGTAATATTATGTGATAATAACATATTTCGGAAAAAGATTCTCTCTCTAGCAAATATACAAACATTACATTTTCATCAAGATTCTTATTGGTATTATTCCATACTTTTTCATCAAATCCGAGAATAGTTCGACCTTTCTTTGTATGCACAGATCTAATATGGCAGGTAACAGAGAAGAAAGAACGAGAATAATGAGTGATCTTCCAACCAACCTCATAAATATCATCAATGAGAGCTCTGAAGCAGTAGACGAGGATGCAACGCCCAATGCCTCCCCCAGGTGATGTGGGTCACCCCCTCCTCACTGTAGCATCACAAAATCTTTTGGTAAGGGAGCCTCCACATCCATGGCGGAGGAGACGCCACCAGCAGTAAAAAAAGCTCCATGAGGCTCGGCTAACTGACACGCTAACCGGCGTCCTCCATAAGCTCGTTCGGGACATGGCTACAGAAAACGCAAGGACTTGCGTTATACCACCAGCGGACGAGCAGTATGATCAAATTCCTCCTCCTCCAACGACATGTATTACTCACAACGACAGCTTTGAAGCCTTTGGTCAATTCTTCCTGAATTATGTCTATGATAGAATTAAACTCTTTCACTTCGATCTTTTATTCCCTTTGTCAATTTCTCCTCTTCCCCTCCCCCCACCCCCACCCCTATTTTTATGGCCATTTCTTAATTGCAACTAGAAAATACATATATATAAAAGGGATATAATAGTTCTTTAGTTATCGATTATTTCGCTATTAATTGATTCCATATAAATGAGAAATCTTAGTAACAGTTGGTTGGTTACCTGAATTTTTATCTTATTGGTGAGGCGTGAGGGTTTGATTTCTCGCCTTGTAGTTTCCTCCCTATTTCCCCTTCCCCTACCCACAATATAATAAAAAAATTTAAAAATTATAACTGAACACTCACAAACATTTCTCATCTTAATTTTTTGAAATTTGTTTTGCATTATACATAAGGAATACTTTAAAAATCTCTCTATATATAATAGATATTATTGACTGAAAATAATACAAATTAAACCTTAATTTAAAAATAATATAAATTTGTAAGAAAAATCTCAAATTTGAATAAGAAGTAGATTTTTAAAACCTGTATAGTCTAACATCAAGCTTCCATACAGATTGAAATGAGATAATATATTGACATTACTTGCAAAATATTATGCATACGCCATCGAGTACACCTCCCATGGGCATTTCACTATGGATATGTATCTTTTTCTCCAACAACAAGGATGCGCGGTCCCTTTACAAACAACTCGAAAGAAAGAAAGAAAGTTATCACTGTATAGGTCGAAATCTACCACGGAACATTTAGGGCAAGGAAGTATTGCGGGAAGAATCAGTCGAGGTCGATCAAGAAATGGCGAAGCTCGGGATCGGAACGCTTACAGTGGTCGAGTACGAGATCCGCAGAAAGAATTGTAACGACTAGTTTTTAGAATAGAATAATAGAGGAAATATCCTGAAGAATATTCTCTGCACATGTAATATTCTAAAGGAAATGATCTCGCCAAGGAACAAGTATCCTCTATTTTGTTAAAAACATTTGGCGAGACCCTCACGGGAGGAGCGTTAACATGGTATTCACAACTACATGCGCGTTCCATTGAAACCTTCGAAGAAATGGCCGACAAGTTCGTAACGGCCCATGTTGGGGCCAAGAAGGACGAGGCGAGAGTAAACGACATATTTGCTATTAAACAGTCTCCGGGAGAGGGATTGAGGGACTTACTCGTCCGGTTCAACCGAGTAAGATTGACCTTGCCGAATATATCAGAAAGGATGGTGGTCGCAGCTTTTTCAGAACGGGTTGAGCAAAAATGGTTTAAGGGCAACAAGAAAGTTATTTAGTCAGCTTATGAAGTACCCCAAACTCTTTGGGATGAAATACACAACGCGTATTGTGCCGAGGTCCGAGCAGAGGAGGACGACCTTAATGGGCCGACTCATCGACTGTCCTCGGTACAAGCCGAATCCAGAAAAGATCGAAGAAATGATATTAGAAGGGACCTCGCAGCTCCGCGACCTAACATGGAACGACATCTACCATATGTCAGAACCGTCATTGCATCCTCCTCCCGCCACGAAGAGGGACCACCCCGATCAATAATAGGGACTCACCGGAACGAGAGAGGTATGCCCCATTTATTATCCGCTCACAATTTTTGTGTGTCACCTACAGAAATAGTCTACGCCTTGGAGAAGCTCGGACCAAAGGTGAAGTGGCGAAAACGAAGAGGTCGAACCCGAGTATCAGAAAATCAGACGCCATATGTGAGTTCCACTAAGAGCGCGGGCACAAAATCGGGGATTGCATTGCCTTAAGATAGGATGTCGTAAACATGCTACGACAGGGACACCTCAAAGAGTTGTTGAGCGACCGGGGAATGGTCAACTTTGCTAAAGGTTATGAACAACATCAAGGACCGCCAAAACCACCCGCGCGGACCCGCACCGTCTACATGATCATCGACGGCGGTGAAGATGCTTATGTCAACAGTGTGAAGTTCACCACAACCCATAAGCTCAAACGGTCAATCACCCTCGAACGGTATGATGAACTCAAAGAAAGTATCATTTTCGATAAGTCTGATACCAACGGTTTGGTTTTCCATCACTATGATGCCCTTGTTATCACTTTACAAATTTTATATACCGATGTGAGATGCATTATGGTAGACGATGGGAGCGGTGCATGCATTATCCACCCTGGAGTATTTGCACAAATGAAACTCGAGGATAAAATAGTGTCGTACTGCATCACGCTAACAGGTTTTAACAATGCAGTTGAGCGAACATCCGGCAAGATCACACTCTCCGTCCTAGCCGGTGGCGTCACTCTGGAAACCACATTCCATATCATGGACCAAGACACAATATACAACGCCAAAATAGGGCGACCATAGATAAACACCATGAGAGCCATCCCCTTCAGCTTGTACCAAGTCATCAAATTTCCAACTCCATGGGGAATATTCAGTATATGAGGGGAACATCGCACATCCCAGGAATGCTACCGCATCGCTCTAGACTGCACGGTCACTCAATAAATGAAGGACAAAGAAAAAGAGGCATAGCAATCAACAGGGTCGAGGCCGATGCGCGATGATAGCGAAAACGTCATCAGAGACCCCGATACGGTCAAAGCCGTGGGATCGACCGTAGAAGACCTTTACCCCGTTCAATTTGACAGCAACGACCACATCAAAAAAGCTTATATCGGCTGCAAGCTTCAAGAACCAGGTAAATTTTGTCAATTCTTAACTGCTAATGCGGACTTATTTGCTTTTAGCCATGCAGATATGCCAGGTATCCCGAAGAAAATTGCCACGCACAAGTTAAACTTCGATCCATTCCATCCCCCAGTGAGGCAGGTTAGGCGTAAGTTCAACTCCGCAACTAATGACGCGGTACGCGAAGAGGTGGAAAAACTATTGGAAAACGGCTCCGTCAAGGAGTCGAAATACCCCTAATGGGTCGCCAACGTGGTCATGGTAAAAAAGAAGAATGGGTAATGGAGAATGTGCATAGGCTTTACAGATTTGAACAACGCATGCCCCAAAGATTTGTTTCCGTTACCCCATATCGACCAACTCATCGACGCAATAGCCGAGCATGAACTACTGAGCTTCTTGGACGCCTACTCGGGCTATAATCAAATCCTCATGGAAGTAGAGGATCAGGAGAAAAACACTTTCATCAACCACCAGGGGACGTACAACTACAGGGTCATGCCCTTCGGGTTGAAAAACGCAGGGGCAGCTTACTAAAGGTTAGTGACGAGGATGTTCAAAAACCAACTCGGGAAAACAATGGAAGTCTATACATACAACATGATGGTCAAGTCCAAAAGGAGAGAGGATGACATCGACCACCTAAGAGAAACTTTCGACATACTCAGACGATACAGAATGAAACTGAATCCCGAAAAGTATGCTTTCGGCGTGGCCTCGGGAAAATTTCCAGGTTTCCTGGTGTCGTAGCGAGGAATCGAGGTTAACCCTGATCAAATCAGAGCTATCAAAGGAATATCATAACACCTAACCACCAAAAAATAGGTTCAGAGGTTAATTGGCCGCATCGCCTCCCTTTCAAGATTCATTTTGCGATCATCGGATAAGTGTCACAGATTCTTCGGCATACTCAAGAAGGATAACGACCTTCAATGGACTTCTAAGTGTGTCCAAGCCTTGAAGGAAGTAAGAGCATATTTATCATCACCACCATTACTTTCAAAACCAGAGCCGAGGGAACGTCTCCTCATGTACCTCACCGTATCCAAAGTAGCTGTGAGCACAGTCCTAGTCTGATAAAACAAAAGTACGCAGTCTCCCATATATTACATTAGCAAAACACTAGTCGACATCGATACGAGATACCCTCACCTCGAAAAACTGGCTCTGGCCTTAGTCGTAGCTTCACAAAAGTTTAGACCATATTTCCAATGCCACCCCATTTCGGTCGTCTCGACTTTCCCACTAAGAAGTATTTTGCATAAACCCGATCTATTGGGTAGGTTGGCCAAATGGGACATCGAACTGAGCAAGCACGATATCACATATCAGCCTCAATCGATATACCCAATCGAGGTAAGAACTATAAATCTGACTTGGGACTGGCGCAACCGTATTGTCACATATTTGCAGGACGGCATACTCCAGGTGATAAAAGGAGGCCAAGAAACTGAGAACGCAAGCAGCCAGGTATAACATCATCCATAATGACCTATATAAGAGAACGTACGGTGGCTCTCTGGAAAAATGCTTGGGCCCAAGTCAAACGCGGCGCGTTCTTGAAGAGGTCCACGAAGCTCATTGTGGAGCTCATTCTGGCAATCGGGCTTTGGTCAGATGCCTCAGACAGGCAGGGTATTACTGGCCCACCATGAAAAAAAGGGCGCGGACTTCGTGAAAAAATTAGAGCAATGCCAAAAGTACGCCCCAATGATTCACCAAGCAAGTGAACACCTCCAATCAATCACTTTCCCCTGGTCGTTCATCAAATGGGGAATGGACATCTTAGGCCCCCTCCCGGAAGGACAAGGTAACATACGATTCATTTTGGTTTTGACTGACTATTTATCTAAATGGGTAGAAGTAGGAGCATTCGCCCAAATACGTGAATAAGAAGTGATCGCCTTCATATGGAAAAATATCGTATGCCGATTCGGCCTCCCCAAAGATATCAACTGCAACAGCGGATCCCAATTTACAGGAAAGAAGGTCGTTGAAATTATTGAAAAATGGCATATCAAAAGAATACCCTCAATGCAATATCATCCCGCGGGCAACATACAAGTGGAGTCCTCCAACAAGTCGATATTGAACATCATGAATAAAAAACTTGAAGACGCCAAAGTGTTATGGCCGAAAATATTACCAGAAGTACTCTGGGCCTACCGCACAACGCCGAAGACGAGCACAAGAGAGACGCCTTATTCATTAGTCTTTGGGACTGATGCGGTGATACCGGTCGAAGTCGGGAGCCCAGCCTAAGATACTCCCACGAGAGCGGACCAAGGAACGATGAAAGCAGAAGGCAGGAGCTCGACAAAATCGAAGAACGAAGAGAGATATGGCCTACGTAAGGATGATCGCCCAAAAACAACAAGCAGAACGCTATTATAACAAAAAGGTAAAGTTCAGGCCACTTAAAGTCGGGGACTACGTGCTTCAAGATAAAACACAAGCAAGAAAAACCCCACGGGAAGGTAAACTGGGAACAAATTGGTACAGCCCGTACAAAATCACGGCAACATAAAACAAAGGGTCATTCCAACTAGAAACAATGAAAGGAAAGCTACTACCAAACAACTGGAATATTACCCACCTCAAGTACTTCAACTTTTAAGAGATAAAGCGTCCCCCAAGTCGTACTCTTTTTCCCTCACTTGAGTTTTGTCCTAATTGGGTTTTTTCAAGGAGGTTTTTAATGAGGCGACGAAGGGGACACTTCAGGTCGAAGTGCGTACAGATGGAGGCACATGACGGCTAGTTAATTGCTCGACCTCTCAAGACCTCCAGGTCAACATATGAAGGAACTAGATAGACCGGGACTAGGACTGGAACGCCAACCAACGCCCAGAAAAAAATGTAAATTTCTCCAAGTATATGAATAAAGCACAAATGCATGAAGTTTATTTCTATTTCTCCGAATATACAACCAAGGAAACGTTGCCTTAAAGTTCACAACGTCGACAAATATTGTACCTAGAGGCTTATCTTTCTAAACATAGGTTACATTCGACCTTATTTGAATTAACACCTAACCGGCCCTCGACCATAACTAAACATAGGTTACATTCGACCTCATTTGAATTAACACCTAACTAGCCCTCGATCATAACTAAACATATGTTAGATTCGACCTCGTTCGAATTAACACCTAATTGGCCCTCGACCATAAATAAACATAGGTTATATTAGACCTCGTTCGAATTAACACCTAACTGGCCCTCGACCATAACTAAACATAGGTTACATTCGACCTCATTTGAATTAACACCTAACTAGCCCTCGATCATAACTAAACATATGTTAGATTCGACCTCGTTCGAATTAACACCTAACTGGCCCTCGACCATAACTAAACATAGGTTATATTTGACCTCGTTCGAACTAACACTTGATGATCCTCGGCCGTAATTTAACTTAGGATGTGTTCAACCTTATCCGAGTTAAATGATTACGTCTAAGAAAATCAAAAATCATACAGGCGGGAACCAAAGAAAAAGAATAAGGTACAAATAACAAAGTCGGCTTTTCATACTTCAAATTTTTTTACAAATGCTTGTAAAGACGCCTACAAAAACGCACAAGTTTGCAGCAAAATAAATGAAAGGAAAAAGAAAGACTATTGGTCGCCACCATGACCATCAGTGTCATCGACTTGACTATATAGGTCGTATCCATATGTCCCCTTACCATCACCACCGCCCTTAGGGTACGCGTCCTCGTACCAGACATCCTCTTCAATTTGATCCATATCCGCGTCCCTCTCATCCTCACCGACCTCCGGCGTAGCAGGTTCATACCCGCAAGCGATTCAAGCTTCACGAGCCTTAACACGAGTATCTTCAAGGGCATCCCCGGGAACAGATCCCGCCGCATGCAGATCTCGGAATACGTCCAACTAGTCCTCAATATGAATCTATTCCTCGTACAGGACCCGGGAACATTTGAGAAATTTGAAGTATGAGAAGATGACGGTTGCGCTAGCATTTAAGCCTTTTCGGCCTCTAAGGCGGCCACCTGGTCCTGAAGGAGGGAGTTGTCTTTCTCTAACTCATCGATCCTCTCGTCAAGCCGCTCTTCTTTAAGCCTGGCCGTCTCCAAGTCACTTTCTTGCTCAGAGCGAAAATACGGATCACTACCTTCAAAGCTTCTGCCTTCCTTAGAGCCTCCGATCAAGCAAACTCTGCTTTCTCAAGGTCCTCTGCCTTCTCGGCGACCTCACCGCTTAGAGCATCCACTTTGAATTGCCACTCTTCAAGTTGGGCACACAGAGAAACCACCTGGGCTTGGAGGTCGCCGCACTGGGCTTCGGAACCCCCTGCTAACCTCGATATCTTCTTCTTTATTTCTCACCGTCCCCTCAAGGATGTTGCACTTTTCGATGACCCTAACCAGCTTGTCATCTTTAATCTTTAGTTTGTCTCAAAAAGCCTGGAAATTGCCGCTCTCACCAAACCGCCTACAAATTTCCCGATGCTTGCCACAGTACTCACGGTATTTTCGCCGTAACTTCGTAAAAATAACTTAACGCCGCTCCTCTCTTCGGGCGCTTTCAATCTCTAAGATCACGGTCTGAAAAAGAAAAATAAAATAGAGTACGAACGGAGCCTAAACGTCGAGCATAACGAACAGAAACAAGAAGCGTTGAAAACTTACCATGAGAGCGAAGCCGG